CATCTAGAATTGAGTTAAAATTGGCTAGAAGCTTTAATTCTATAGTTGATTTATATAGCTAAAATTGATTGGAAAAAGGCTTAGAGATCTATTTTGGGTATTGTTTTGATTTTACCCCAGAACCCCCAAATTGGCTCTACTACTTATAGCTTTCCAGTGATTTTCTGAATAAGATTTATGCAAGCCTTCTGCTACTAATTTTTCCAGATTCTCTTCGGCTTTATAGCAGGCAATTTCCTATTATGTAGTATTCTCTGCTTTTAACCCTTCTATTTCACTCTCTTCATCATAGCCATGCCTCTGAAATTGAGATAAATATAAGAAATATTTTTGAGGTTCAAGCGGGCTAAAATATTTCACAATTTTTCTATTGCAGAGATTATTCCAATCATCGATATTTATGTCTTTACCATCATAAAAATTTTGCAAATAAAAACGTTTAAGTGCCATAGTATCTGCTATAAAATGCTCCTGATCAAACTTAAGAATTTCAGCTTTTTTAGGACTAAGATTCTGAAAAGTAGCAATTGCATTAAAATCCATTTCTTTATAACTAATGCTTCAACTCTAACCTCATTACGGATTCTTTTATGGTTCCCTATAACTCCTCAGCTCTTATCCATTTTTATTAGTTAGAGAGAAGCACCAGTACTGACTATAAGACTACAAAGCTTCTCAATAAAATATCTTGCAAAAAGGCATTTCTGTTGCTCAACTTCAATAAATATTATCACAGTCAGGGATTTATTAATTTTATAAGAAATGATATTACTATCCCATTCACAGTGATCCTTTATTGCTGTAGGCAAATTATTAGGTCGAGTACTTTCAAGTTCTGCTCAAATATTTTTACAGCCTGATAGATAAAAAAGTTCATTAGAATTTTTCTGATAGAACATGAAAACAATATGATGGAAACAGTCATGAATTTGATAAAGCATTTGTGTAAGAGTCTTAACATAAACTGGAGTAGTAATGTTTGTAATAGCTATAACTATATCAAAGTAGCTTGTAACCTTAAATGATATTTCCGCCTCCATTGTGTTTGTGTAGGCTATACAGTTAAGCTTATCCTAAGCGATATCAATATTAGGGAAGTCTTTTTGTCATTGTATCCTATTCATATCTCCATAACAAGTACGAGCTCTGATATGTGAGTTATCAGATTTTGTTAGCTTAGATGCCTTTTTTACTAGCGCTCTATCCATTACTGCTCTGGTAATTACGAATGCTACACATTTGCCCTGTTTCAAAAGATCATATCCTATTTACATGGCTTCAGCTCTGCTATTCAAATCATAAACAAATTCAACTGTATCACCTATACGAGGTTGATACTTATTATCAACTGTGTGAATATTTTCACCACGATAAGTCTGAAGAAAAGTTAGTGTTGATGTATTTGCAAAAGGATTTATGACCAAAACATGTCTCACAGATCTTAATATATTACATATTGCATTCTCAGATTTCCGTGCATTTGTATTACTAGATATTTGACGTATAATGGCATTAGCTTCATCAAGAATAACTATAAATAGACAGACTGTAAACTTAATATGGAAAAAACTCTCAACTTGTACTATGATAATATCCCACTCATTAATAAATAAGTTTCCTTGTATATTTTGATAATTGCAAATTCGAAAATCAGATGATTTTAGTTCATCAAGTTTCGTTTTTAATTCATTACTAAAAGACTTTCAGTAAGAAACCCAGATATAACATGGTAATTATATACTTTATTTTTCAATGCCATAATAATCTCTCTTAATGTAATGATTTTTCATGTCCTCAGAGGAGAACGAATAAGTGTTGTTATTTTCTCAATACCAAAAAAATCGGGATATACTTCTGAAGCATCCTTTAATTTTTCTATATTAATCATCATTTCTGATAATCTTACAAGAGGCGTGAATTTGATATAGTGTCACCTATTCTTTTGACTAATCCTCTCTTAAGTATTACAGAAATTTCGGTCACCTTTCCAAACACTAATCCTTTATGATTTGATTTATAATTTTTCTGCCAATAACATTTGAGTATAAAACACCTGTTGCTCTGAAGAAAGCTATATAACTAGTCCTTTTCATGTTTAATTTCATAAATAGGACATGCTTGGTATGATTGGACTTGAAAGTGAACAAATCCATTCCCAATTCTTCTAATCCTAAGCTATTTATATTTTGCAATAATTAAGTTAGCTCCCTTACTTAAGGTAGTTTCATCTTCGATATATTAAAATTCCTCTTTTCTGACTTCTTAGAAGAAAAATTTCGTGGCCAGATTTCAGAATAATCAGATTTAGACTGAACTAAATAATCTTCTAACTTGTAATACCCTTTTTTAACTGAAGAAATCACAGGCCTTTTAATTCTATCTTCTTTTGCTGATCCAAGAAGCTGAAGACTAAAGCATGATTTATAAAGTCCTATATCAATAAACTTAGAATATAGTTTTTCAACCCTATCAGCAACCTTTTTTACAAAACCTCTAAGATCTCTATAGTTAATAAAGTGGTCATCAGACCATATAATATGCCAGCTACATTTATCAGAATTAAATGAACTGGTCAAAGTAAATACATTTAAAGTTATAAGATATTTTAAACCAAAATATAAGATATTAGCACAAGCAATTAAGATTCTAGATAGCAAATCTTCTTGAGTAATTTCTTTACTATTTAAATAAGGAAGTTCAGGATTTGTAGGATCTGGATTTTGCCTCACATCGATATCCAGAACCAGATAAAGAGGCAGGTTATTATCAATATATTCATGAACATCAGGCATCCCATAAATCTCAAAAGGATGATCAACAACTGTAAAACCCTTTCCAGATACTTGAATTATATATTTAGAAAAATCTCTTTAGGATAATAAGTGCCTAAAGAGTGATATCATCTTTATTATTAGTTTCTAATAAATATTGAAAATATGTATAATCATCATAATCAGGCTTATAATTAAGATCTGTTATACCTGAGAAGAAACTTATTACTTCATTTATTTCTATGGGATTGGATTCGAATTTTTTTTGCGCAAGTGCAGATAGTATAGTAGTATATGTAAGAAATCAGAATAAAATAATGATATCTGACGAAATTACCTTTCTTAATATGACGAAATTGACGAAACTGAAATGACAAAACTAGTTTTTATTAATAATAAAATTATTTTACTTAATTGCTGAAATTATATTTAACTTGATCTAAATTCCTTGAATTAAAATACATTAAAAAATATAATAATTTTATATTTATTCATATAAAAATATTAAAAAGACAAAACTTTTGATGAAATTATAATATTTCAAAAAAGAGTTTAGTTAGATATCACTAATATAAAATAATAGAGAAACTTGCAAAGTTTAAAATAAAAAATGTAATATGTATAATTCAAAAACAAAATAAACCATTCTGACATCTAATAAATTACTAGCATAAATATCATAGGAGAACTTTTATGTGATTGGTCAATCCTAATCAATTGCTGGATACATTATTTATACAGTTTAAAGTATTTTTCAAAAATATAACGTTTCACTTATAAAAAGTAAAAGATTTTTTTTTTTAGCTTTGAAAGAACATTAACATTCACTATGCAAATAATCCAAAAATAATCCTAATTCCTAAAGTACTTTACTTAGAAGACAAAAATACTTTTGTCTACTATTATTATTAAATTATATGTAATTACTATATAGCTATATGTCGAAAATATTTAACTAACTAGAAAAAGTAAAAAAAGGTAATTTAAAGATTAAGCTAACAATATATATTTATAAGAAAGTTTATTTTGAGTTTTAGTAATTTTGATAATACTATATATTTAAGAAAAAGCATTAATTTTTATTTTATTTTTTTTTTTAAATAGAAAATATGTTATATATTTTATATACTTATAAAATGAACTTGATATAATAATTATAATAGGAAATCTAAATCAAACTTACTTGTTTATCTACATTCAAAGAGACAGAAGTAATAAAAAAATTTTTTACTGTTAATTATTTGCAAATTTAAAAAGTATTGGTGAAGTTTTTAAGTTTTAGAAATAATGATATCATATGAAAACATTTTCAGTAAAATCAAGTCATGAGGCATAGTAAATCATATGATCTGTAATGAGAAACGCTCCCATATGATTATATATAAAAATTATAGTTAATGTAAAATTTGTGTAACCTATCTGACCAATCATATGAATGTCTTCCTATGAGTATAAATATACAACAAATATATTGAATAATACTCCAAAGCAATTGATGCAAAGATATTCTGAAGTAGTAATTATACAGGAATGCGATCTAAAAGCCAAAAATGTGTAAAATTTTGGTAACCCAGATAAGCAGAATTATATATAGGAAAAAGAGAATAAATTTTGCATATCTGGATTACTAACTTGATATTTTGTGCCTCATTCTCAGCAATTAAACAAGCTATAAAAGGCGGGATTGCAAGAATGGCATAACACTAATACTTCGCATGTGCCTTACCGGCAATCAAAAAGTAGGTAAATAGATTGCAACACATCTTTAGCAAATAGATGGATTGCAAATTCAGCACTTCATGTTTTATCTGGCAATTAAGAAATAGCAAATAAGAGGGAAGCAACTATATGAGGGTGTTCTAGCACTAGAACAGTATCACATAACTATAACGCAATAAGACGTAGTATTACATAACTATAACGTAATAAGACGCAGAATTACATGACTATAACGCAACAAGATGTAATATTAATTCACTTATTTTTGGCCAATACTATTCCATAAATTTGGCTAGAAGTTTGAATATAATAATTCAGCACCCAAGCTAGCATAAAACTGGTGAACTAATAGAACTTTTCTGGCATCTTACCAGTTTAATGACAATTCTCTACCAGTTTTACAATAGTTCTATGATACTACCACAGCACTATCATGGTATCAAGCTGGATCCCTAAATCACATGTCCAAAAGATCGTCTGGAATTATGGTATAGTGTCAGCCAAAATTAAACATAAATTTACTGTACCACTTGATGCATTTTTTATCACAATTTAGAATTTTAATAGGTAATCAAGCAGATATAAAAAGAAGCATTATCGATATCTTAACAGGCCATCAAATAGGCCCAAAAGCAGAAAAACAAGCAAATAGCTCTTTAGAAACAAAAAAAGCGCAAATAATTATAAATACATGAATAGTTTCTTGATAATAAAAAGAAGATATAGCAATAAAATCAAGCGGATAGCTACAAGGTAACAAAAAGATTATAGAACAATGAAAACAAGTGGATAGCTACAATGTAATAAAAAGATTACAGAGTATCGAAAACCCTAACTAAGTAGTATTATACTCATAACTAGATAGCATTATAGCGTAACTAGAAAGCACTCTTATAAGAGTACTTCACCTGTGGTTGTAGTGAAGAAAAAAAATAGCAAAAAACGTTTATGTGTCGATTACCATAAGCTTAATAATGTTACTAAAAGGGATCACTATCCACTATCACACATTGATGATATGCTGAAAATGTTACAAGGCTCACAATGATTTACTTCATTAGATCTTGCTAGTGGATTCTGACAAGTTGAATTAGAATTCAAGGATAGAGAACTGACTACTTTTATAACCAGATTTTAAACTTATGAATTCAATGTTATGCCTTTCGGTCTTTGCAATACCCCTGCAATATTTCAAAGGTTGATGGATACTGTTTTACAAGATATATTGTGACAATATATAATCATTTATGTTGATGATATCAACATAGTATCAAAATTATTTGATGATCATCTTTTATACTTGAAACAAGTATTCCTATGATTGTAATAAACTGGATTGAAACTAAGTCCTGAAAAGTGTTTCTTCTTTGAACAAAAATTACCTTTCCTGGAACATGTAATCAGCAGAGAAGGAATTCAAATGGATTCAGAAAAAGTAATTACAATCAGGAATTTTTCCATCCAAAAAGATTTAATATAATTTAGAGGATTTATTGCTTTAGTATCCTATTATAGAAAATTTATCAAAGGATTCGCAAACATAGTTGAACCATTAAATAGATTACTAAAAAAGAATATCTCTTACAATTGAATACAACAACAACAGGATGCTTTTGAACAACTTAAAAATTATTTGATCATCCCACCAATTCTTGCATACCATGATTTTAATAAACCATTTATTCTTTACACTGATGCTTCTTCTTTTGCTTTGAAAGCAATACTTTTTCAAAAAGATGAACAAAATAGAGAATAAGTTATCACTTACGCAAGTAGAATGATAAGACCACTTGAAAGAAAATACTTAGTTACAGAATAAGAATGCTTAGCTGTAATTTGGGCAGTCAAGTATTATCATCATTACTTGTATAGATATAAATTTATAGTAATTACCAATCATGCTGTCTTGGCTTACTTAAAGAATATGATAAATCCTGTTGAAAGACTTAGACGTTGGCTAATGATACTTAACGTATATAAAATTGAAATTATTAATTAACCTGAAAAACTTCACATAAACATAGATATATTAAGCTAAATACAATACTAGTAAATTTTCAACCACAAATTCAGTAGCAAGCGGATTTGTTTGTAACAGATATTTTAATGATAATTCTTTTTTGATTTAACCTAATATGGACTTGAATACATATTTTTCACTGGTATATTATCTCATGAAACTCCAAATGCTAATATAATTAAACCAACAGCAACAAGCAGCAATCAAATGAAAGTTAAGATATTTTATTGTAATAGAAGAACAGCTTTACAAAAATAATAAGCAGGAACAACCACAGGTTAAACGAAAGATTATCAGGTGATCATTAATCATCTGATAGCCCTCCTTTTTTTCATTGAATCTGGTCTGAAAGAAATCTGATAGCTCTGCATGATGTCAAACATATGTTTGACGCAGATCATAAATAATTTATGCAACTTTCGGGTTGGCATATTTCAGATAATTAACAGATAAATATAGTACAAATATTAGAAGAAATATTGAACATCCTGATATGTCTATAATTTTTTGATAATTCAGATATATATCATTTATATGTAGAATCCAATGTTTAACCAATTTTTTTATAGAAATAGTCACAGTATTTTCATTATGTAATATTATATAATAAATGGAATCAATATGTTATTTTTATTATTGCATCTATATTCATTGCTTTATTAATATATTTGTTATTGCAAATATGCTATTAATAAATAATACGTTATACAATACTATTGTTACATATTATTAATTATATGCTATTATTATATATTATTATTAATTAAATACAATAAGGTCACATTCTACATACAAAAAATAAACAATTAATTATATAAATAAAAATAAATTATAATTATTATTTCAATAAACAAATAATATTCACTTATTATTAATAATAAAGCAGAGTTCTATTCAAACTGGTACAAAAATGAAATAGTCCATTTCAAGGCATTGGATGGCAGTTTGAAATTGTCTACATATGTATTATCATCATATCACCTTTTTCTTACAACCTTGATATTCTGTGTTATTTCACCTATTAAATCTGTATGTCGTAAGAAACGTTGAACCTAATAAAAAAATTAGATTACATTTGATAATTTGTCATTAAATTCTAGTTAATATCATATTATCATTTAAATATGTTATCAAATGTTTTTGATTACCCTTTACGATCTCTATTTCTTGTTATATACATGAATAATATAATTTGAATTTGCATTTCTAGACGGATGAATATTCTTGCTTTTCTCTTCTTATGCTAGAAGAGAAAGTGATTAATAAATACTTTATTAATAGAACATTAGTAACTATTTGCAATAAAAATGCATTACATTTTTCTTTATCTGATTCAGAAATTTCATCTGATTGATAATTAGAATCATCAACAATTTTTTTAAGATCCTTAACCCAATCATCCCATTCCATCAAAGGTTGTAAGTCTGTTAGCATTTAATCATTAGTATGCAGCATATAATATAATCCTCTTTTTCATCAATCCTTTTTCTTTGTAATAAAATGGAATAATAAAATGTTAATAATATAATAAACGAGTCTTTAAAAATCAATAAAGTTCTATTAAATGTCACAAGATTGATTCTAGATGAAGTTAATATCTGATATTTATATCTTTTCGTCTACCATTTGTATTAATTCTTTGTTTATTCATTTTGGCCTTTAAAGGGTTTAATGATATAGTATATGTATCTTTTCTATAACAATGAAGATTCTGTAGAACATTCTTCAACTCTGTGTCAGTATATTGGAATTTATCACTGAGTACTTTCTTTATAGCTGGTATTGTGCTTTGAATTACATGTATTTCAATGTCAATCCATCGTTTTTTATAATCTAATTTTAAAGAATCATCTAAACTCTTTAAAATTTGGACGACATTATCCTACAATATATATATAAAGGATTAGATAGTTAAATTAAATATATTTATATTTATATAACCACAAATCATCACAAAATAAAATCTTTAATTATTTATATATTAACTCGAAAAACCTTTTTATAATCATTATTCATAGGCTCTAAATTATTCTGGGCTCTTTTAGATTTCCTATTAGGCGAAATATCAGGAGACATAAAAGGTATTTTTGATCGACTTTCATTTTTGTGATAAAGTTCTCTTATTTCCTCTATCAATTCTAAGACAGTTGAACGTAATTCTGCAATTTCTGATTAGATAAAAATTAATAATAGTCTATTTATCTTATTAGTATTTTTTTAATAAAAATTTAACAATCACTTTCCTGATTTCTAATTTCTCTACTTTCACTTCTTCTGCTTCTTTTTTCCTTTTCAATGTTTCTATAATCTTTATAATCCTTACTAATACTTCTTTCTCCTCCTCTTCTTCTTCCTTGTTTTTTATCTCTTTTTTCTAATGAAGTAGAAGTATGACTCATACTTCTTTCTTATTCTCTATCTCTTCTTTCTAATGAATTAGGAGTACAACTTCATTCTCTGCCTCTTCTTTCTAATGAAATAGAAATTCGTAAAGTTCAGCTTCTACCTCTTTCTTTGTATAACAACTTCTGCTTTTCTCTTGAATTTTCTCTACTTTTGTAAATAGAAATTTCTTTAGAGTTTCTTGACCTGTATTTAGAAGTTTGCATAATTAGACGCATAATAAAAATGATAAAGATGTAAATTAGAATAATATATATATTGTGAATATAGTTACACATGATGATCTACATAGTAATATTATAGACATTCATGTGACTTAGTCGACATTTGACGAACAACATATAATAGAATTTTAAAATAGACTTTTGATATGATTAGATTAGCTATGTTTGATAAAATGTGTATTTTGATATTATGTTAAATAATACTCACAATTCGTTAAATTTTTTTTTGTATATATTAAACAATTGTTACATTTTTGAAAAATCCAACTATTTTCAACTTGATATAATTAATAATATCTTCAAATAAAAATAAAAATGTTTCTTATTCTTCTTGAACTCGAAAACCTGTACCATGTTATTGTCAAGATTGTAATGGAAAATTGGTAGATCCTAGAACTCAATCATCACATAATAAAAAACATGTTGTGCCTCGAAAAGAAATTAAAGAATCTACTAATCTATCTTCACCTATCAATCTTATATCTGCTTTAAAGGATCTTATGGATATTAGTGATAAAGAATCACAAGAATCAAATGAAGAAACCTATTTATTTTTAGTGAAAAGAATGACGATTACCTCTCAGAAAAAAAAGATGTCTGAAATCTTGATTCTAAAAGTAATAAGCGAACTGCTTTCTGATGATGATAATGATGATAATGATTCATTTGAAGAAAACAATAAAGAAACCTTTGAGGATAATGTTTTAGAATACTTATCCAATGATTCAGATGAAGATTTTCAAGTGAATTTTGCTGCACCAGAAATGAAATTAAAAGGAAATGATTTTAGGTATACTAAAGAAGAATTTGATGACATCTTTTTGTGGATTGTTATATGAATCTTGAAATACCAGGAGAGGTTTCGGCTATCCAATATGGTTACAGATTCCCTCTTTAAGTTTTTTCGATATTTCCTTACAAATGTAGATAAAAAATTATTTTTCTCTTTTCCCACTTTTCTTTATATAGCATAAAAGAACCTTGATATTTGTGTCCAATTAATTAATTATGTGAATTGTGAAAATTGTTGTAAGTTGTATAAGATTGATGATGTGTGTAGCAATAGTTTAAAATTCACGAAGTGTATATTCCAAGAATTTCCTAATCATCCGATGAGTAATAAAAGAAATGCTTATGGAAACACTCTGTACAAACTTGTTCACACGAAGAGTGGTATAATTAAAAAGCCAGCTTCGATATTTCCTACAGTCAGTTTGAAACACCAGTTGAGTCTTCTGTTTAAATGAAAAGGTTTTGAAGAATTTTGTAGAAAGTGGGTAAATCGTCCTTCTGATCCAGAGATTCTTGCTGATATATATGATGGAAGAATATGGAAAACTTTTAAAGATGAAAATGATGTGTCTTTCTTTTAGCCAAACTTAACAGATATCTATATTGGAATAATGCTCAACATAGATTGGTTTTAGCCCTTTGAGAATTCTCAATATAGTATAGGAGCAATTTATGTTATATTATGTAATTTACCTCAGAATGAACAATTTAAGCTATCTAACATATTAACGTTAGCATTGATTCCAGGTCTGAAGGAGCCAAAACTACATCAACTAAATCATTATTTAGCTTCTTTGATTGATCAATTAATTGAGTTATGGTAAGAGATAGACTTATCGGAGACTTTCAAGTATCCTAATAGAAAAACAATTAAAGGTGCTATTATTTGCTGTTCTTATGACATAACTGCTGCAAGAAAACTCTGTAGGTATATATCCATAAGAATTGCATGTTACTGATGTCTTAAACGTACTAATTTTGATAATAAAAATCAGCCAAACTTTGAAGGATTCGCTGATATGGATAGCTGGTTTATAGAAAAAAATGTTGAAGAAGTTAAAAACAATGCTTTTGAATAGAAAACCTGTAAAACGGATGATCAGAGGCGAATACATGTATCAGAAACCTGTGTATGATGGTCTGAAATATATCGCTTATCTTACTTTAATTCTATATGATTTCTTGTCATAGATCCAATGCATTGTCTTTTCCTTGAAATTGTGAAATAGATCGTGATGAGGCTATGGATTGAAGAAATAAGCTGATACCAGCCGATCTTACAATTATGCAAAAGAGAGCCAATAAAATACAAGTACCTACTGATATTGGTAGGCTTCCAAGCAAAATAGACACAGGAGAAGGCTTTTCTAGTTTTTTTGCCGATCAGTGGAAAATGTTTGTATTAATATATGCGACAACCATTACTTAAAATCTTTTGAAAGAAGCTGACTGAAAAATTCTCACAGGCTTTGTTCGTGCCTGCACTATTTTGATATTTAGATTAATATCAAAAAATGATCTGATAGAAGCCCACCAGTGTTTAGTAGAAATGGTTAAAGAAATTGAACAAACCTATGGACCTAAGAAAATTTCTCCCAACTTACATTTATGTATGCATTTATGTGAATGCATACTGGATTATGGACCCTTATACGTATTTTAGTGCTATTCTATAGAACGAATGAATAGATTGTTAGGTAATTATCTAATTATCATTTTTCGATATCAACATTTACTAATATTTGAATATTTTTTTTAGGATCATTTCATAGCAGCCATAGAAAAATTGAACTTGAGCTTTTGAAAATCATCCAAAATAATGCTCTTCTAGATGAATTAACGTCTTGCATTGAACAAAATCATAATTTTCAAGAAAATCTTGAAATATTAAAACCGAAAGATCCAGTTGGAAGTCTTTCCATATATGATGAATATTTCAACAAAGAATATCAGACATTTCGCTTATTATCAACAGAAATGGAAGAAGGTGCAGCCTATGGTTCTGAATCATTTCCAAGCTCTTTTCTAGGTTTATTAAGAAAAAATGTAATACTACAGCAAGAAATTTAACAGTTATTAGCTGATTTTTATTGTAATACATACAATAAAGACTTTGTTATGTTATTATGTATCCATAATGCTTCGGATTCCTCTATTCCTGTTGAACTAAATATCAATCAATTTAGCTGATTAAGAATTAGAACAGAAGTATTCAGTTCAACATTATCTTCTCGACACATCAAATCAGCGAAAATATTAGCCCGTTTCTTTACAGATGATGTTAATTCTGACATATATCTCGGTCAAGTCCAGTTCTTTTTCGAATACACAGTTTATCTACCGGAAGCTAAAATGCATTATCTAGCATTCGTGAGATGGTATAAGCCAGCTGAAAATTACAATATTAGATTTTACTGCAAAATAAATAATGATAATAAATCTTTTAACAATGAGTTATGGAAATCAGAATTCTATGAAGTTGGAAGAGATTGTATTATACCTATTCATAATATATTATATTGATTTGTTTTAGGAAGCTTTGAAATTAGTAAAACAACAAAAAGAAAGTATATAACAATTATTTCGATAAATAGAAAATTTCATATTTAATTAATAATACATTTGAAAAGAACATTTCTTTATTATTTTAAATTTATGTATTGTTTTATATTCGTTGTATTACTTTTATTGTTTTACATGTATTGTTTATTTAATGTTACCGTTACATTTTGTTTTAATTTAGGTGTTGTATTGATTAATTAAGTTAGTAAGTGATTTAATTTTCGAACTATTAAATAAATATCGTATTTTATTTGATTTCAAAATAAAGAACGAAAGAACTTTATTTTTTATTGAATTTTTATTTTATTACAGCTTTATTACAATAAATATAATACAATAAATACAATAAACTAATCTGGCGTAGTAGTTAGTAAATCACCTGATAGGACATCAATTTTACAAAACATATGACAAATCAGATGTTCTGATAAAATTCTGAAACTTACCTGATTTTCCTTTGTAAATATTGGGATTCTATAGTTAAATATCATATGTTAATCATTATTTCGATACTTACTTGATATAGCTATATCAAATATCAGCAAATATCAATTCCTAATTTCTCCTGATATTTGTTCGAAATTTAATAACCTGATTTTTCTTCATTCGACCTGTGAACACCACCAACTAAAAGTTGTTAAAATTAACAAAGTAGATATAATATTATACAATTTGCACTCTGATCCACTGGCTGGATACTTTGCATTAGAAGAAACATACAGGAAAATCAAAATTAGATACTATTGGCCACAGATGTACAATGATATTTAATGATATATTCAAACTTATGATGAGTGTCAAAGGAGAGGCAAAAATAAGAGAACTGAACCTTTACACCTAATAAAAGTTAGACAACCCTTCGATCGAGTAAGGATGGACATTGTTAGATCTTTACCAATAACTAAACGAGAAAATGAATACATTGTAATAGCAACAGATTACTTAACTAAATGGCCAGAAGCAAAAGCGTTACCAAACGCTAAAGCATCATCAGTAGTTCCCTTCTTTTATAAAATTTGTAGATATAGATGTCCAAAGGAACTTTTGACAGATAAAGGAATACATTTTGTTAATGAAATACTGGATTCTGTGTGTAATGAATTGGGAGTAAAACACAAATTGACTACCACATATCATCCCCAGACCAATGGACTTGTGAAAAGATTTAATAGAATGTTATATGAAACCTTGACAAAATTTACAAATGAAAATAAAAATGATTGGGATACCTTTGTTCCCTCTACATGATTTGCATATCGCACAAAAAGGCAAAATACCACATGAAATGAATCTTTTTGTTTAACTTATGGAAGAGAAGCAATTTTACTAATAAAGTTTTAAGTACAAACACAAAAGATACAAGTAAAGGAAACTAATGATGAAGATGATCTATTAAATTATGTACGATAAATAACTAGAAGAATGGATCACAACATTAATCAAGTGTAGTCAAACATAGAAAAATCCCAAAGAAAACAAAAGGAATGACATAATAAAAATTTAACAAATGAATATACTTTTAGAGTTGGAGAATTAATTTTAATGCATAAAACTGAAATACAGAACAAAAAGAAATTAGAAGAGCAATGGAAAGGATCATATTACATTCATGCAAATCTTGGAAATGGAGTGGATAATGGAACGCAAAATATTAAAAGTGCCAATCAATAGCACTAGGTTAAAAAAGTATCACCAATGTATATTACCTAATCTAATTGTATTAATTAAGAATTAATAATTAATGTTGCAAGAATTTTCTTGACAATACTTCTTTTTGATATATATATGAGTATAATCAGAAAAAATTCCTCTAAAAAGCAAAATGGAACCATTCAACTTTCTGCTAACTTATATTGAAACATTTTTACCAAATTTCTAATTAATCCTTGAGGATTTATAAAATATTGAACCCAAGATGTAGCTATGTATCACCTACCATATGATGATTCAATGACCTTGAAAATAAAGTTCTCTCTAGCAAATGAATATTCTTAGAGCTAAGCGAATATACAATTGTGTATTAATGATAACAAATAGTTTTTATCTTGAAAAATTGATAGAAACAATTGAGGACCCTACAACACGAATGATATACTCCAAGAAGTTATCTAGATACTATTATTGAACTGTTATTCATTATTACTATCTTTTTGAGTTCTTAGGATCAGATCAGATTGCGAGAACATAACATATGACTTTGAAAATGGTTAAATATCTAACAGTACTTGAATGTAACGCTCTTGTGAAAAAAGCAACTGATATTTTTGCGAGAACGCAAAATCTTGAAGGAAATGATATTACACAAAATCATTAGGGTGATCTTCCTAATATAAATCCTTAGAAACTATGTTAACCTTGTTAATCTTATTTACATCATCTACCTTGTTTACATAGTTAACTTATTTTATTTATTTTCTTTACTTTATTTATTTAACATAGTTTATTTATTATACTTAGTTTATTTATTTAATGTTGTTAACAAATATATATGTTTTATTTTATATAAATATGAGTTGAGTATCCTTGGAGATTCAGAGAATTCACTTATATAAAAACTTATAGGAATAGTTTATATTAGATTAGTTTGATTATTTAGAACATTTGTACAGTACAGAAGTGCTGACGTTTGAAGCAGTACTCATTTGTTAGTATATATCAAATAAACTATTGATACCTATATTTTATCCAATCTCAACTATAAATTAAACTTTCTGCTTACCACATATATTATCTGTCTGCTTATAATATTTAAGCAATATAAAGAACTGACTGTAATACTATTAACTGAGTTTAAAACATTAAAAATCAATTACATATTAGCAGTTCAGTCCCAATCAATAATTCTCTCTCAAATGATTCTGCCACCAATAAAAATAGTAATTCCTCTCTAAATGACTTCATTTCTGATCAAAATCACTTCTCCACTTTAATACCTTCTCTATTTATATCATGTGACCAAATGATTGATTGATAAAAAAAACAAATTTCAACCTTACAAAATAACTTAAGCTAAATTCAAGTCTAAAATTAAGCAAAACTTTAGCACAAACTCAAGTCCAAAGTCAAGCAAAACTCGAGCCCAAAGTTGAGCTGAAAAATTTAACAAATTTTTTTAGAGAAAGTATAAAAAAATCATTCAGATAGAATGATTTATTATTGTTATATCAGAACAATTTTATTTATCATTTCTTTAGAACTATACATTATTGTTCTATTAGAATAATTCTTCTATCATTCCTTTAGAACAATGTTTTATTGTTCTATCAGAACGATTTTATTTATCGTTCCTTTGGAATAATATTTTATCATTCTATCAGAATGATTCTTTTATTGTTCTTTTAGAATGCTGCATTATTGTTCTATCAGAATGATTTTATTTATTGTTCTTTTAGAACAATTCTTTTATCGTTCCTTTAGAATAATGATTTATTATTCAATCAGAACAAATAACTCAAGTTGAGTTGAGGGTTAAAAATTTTTTTGACCTGACTCGACTCAACTTAATTTTTTCGAATTAAGTTGAGCTTAACAAAAACTCACTCAACTTGACTCATTCAGAACTCTACTTAAAGTACAACAAATGATTCTAGATCTTATATCAAAAGCTAAATCAAAAAAATATCATCATATTATTATAGGTAATTTTAACATTGATATAAAATGAAAATATTTTTCAGCTAGATAAAAAAGATACTTTTAACGTGTAATTTTTGCGAACTACAACTATTAAACAGGGTGTCAGAGTGTTATTTCTTTTTTAATTGCACAGTAATTTCAATGCTTTATAGGTGTACTTTTTATGACTAAATTCAAGTAGAAGAGTTTATATGAAAGTTTCATGATTAACAATTCAAAAAGTATCGAGTAATTATATTTTCAAGTAAGATGTTTATTATTAAAATAGGAAATAGAAATAAAAAGAATAAAAGATATGACAAGAGAAAAGAAAATAAAATAAAAAAATGAAGTATTAAACTAAAATATAACACAATAGATCTGTTTGTCTCTTAAAATCTACTGGAAAACTGACTTATCAAATCTTACTTTTTACATGGTCTAAAAAGCTATCTATTTATATAAAATACAGTATATAACTAATATATCTAATATATTGTATATGTCAAATATGTCTAATATGTTATATATATCGAATCTGTCTAATATATCTTATTTGTCGATCATGTTAGATATATTATATACTACCCTATTAAAAGTATTCAGTCAAGCTCTTTTCGATTTACTTATAATTTAATATATATATATATATATTTTAAATTAATGTCACAGTTCTAACGATTAAAATCAATATATTTATATTGTATTACAATAAATATATCGGATTTGTCAATAAAAATAAATAAAATATTCAATTTTATTATTGTTGATCTTTATTTTTTTTTGTTTACTGCGTCATTTAAATGGGAAAACTCGTGAATTGAGTGAGTTTAGACGCGAACAAGTTATTAGTCTTTAGAAAAGAGAAAGAATTCATGAAGCTATTGGTTGTG